GTTAGTCCCTTGCATAATAAACAAGAGTTCATGTTAGTTTCTTGCACCATGTGTTCTAGATAAGGGCAGCCTTTGAAGCCATATGGCCAGCAAAATCAGCATGCCAGTGTTTCCTGGCATGATGAGAACATCACTGTGATGAGCTTTTCATCCAAGGTCTGAATGGAGTGGCAGAAAAACTATTCTGATCTATGCTGTCTCATTTCTAGATAATCCAAGGATAAAGCGTGGACTATCTCCTGTAACTTACTCTTTGAACCTTATTATCTTATCCTATTCACCCCACTGAATTGCTTTTACAAAATTTATCTTGGGGGAGGGGCATTTGTCATCAGCAGGTCCAAAACCACTTACTGCATCCTGCTGTTGCAATGTCTAGTAAACTCCAGTTGAGGACATTACCCTAGGCTTCTGTCTTGTGAAGGCATGAGGAGACTGAGTGACAGAAAGGAGTCTGCTTTTCATGAGTGACTTTGTCCTACTGTAAACAATGAAAATCAACATCGTAAGTGATTATTTTCTTCTCCATGAATGACCTTGTATCGTTCTGAATTATTTTCACCTTAAATCCATTAATTGAAGGTTATTATTTTCAAAATACTGCTTAAATATCCCTTCTGCAACTTTAACAAGTACTCTAAAACTAGACCTCTTTTAAAAATGACACATTTTGTAAATGGAAAGAAACAGTAATACCAATTTTGAAAAGACTGTTGATGTCACTGTGGTTTATTAGGTAAATACAAAGTATAGGCTTTTGCATTTTTTAAAAAGCAAAACCAAAGAGATTAGAAACCAAGTACACATATCCTTTTTAGAAGAGAAACATAACTCAGTTTTAACAATTAGGCACTTAAAAATGTAAATGTAAGATAACATTTTAGAAGTATAAACTATATTTACACTCCTAAATTCCTCCTGAAATGTTTACAAACACAAAATCACAAGCATGAAAAACAAATTTCCTCTTTATCAGAAAAGGAACCTGAATTCAAATACAATATGATAAACCAATGATTAAGGTACTGGTGGGTAGGAGAAAAGAGCTTCTGAAATTTACATATTTGATTTAAATGTAAGCATTTCATAAAACTATCACAATAGCATACAGTAGATATCATAATGAAAAATATATGTCAGGAAAATAATGAATTCTAGACTTAAAATTTTACTTTACAACAAGGCACTTAACACGTGGAAACAGTACAGTAAATTTCCAAAAGAACGCAATTGGCTACCTCTCATATCTTGTAGTATTTCTTTTGTGAATATACGGTAACATAACCATACATTTTGCAGCATTAATCATTGCATAGGAAGTAAATTAAATAATGAATTCCTACTTGGCAACTAGATTAGTTTATATTCATAGTTTCCTCTTTTTCTTTTAAAGGACAGTTTTAAATAATTCCACAATAAAGCACTCTTCTCATTCGTGATTTATTTAGAACACAGCATATATTAATGAGTAATAAAATATATAGGAACTTATAAGGTGAATATCTGTATAAAAACTTATCTTTGGGTACCATTGACATGATTTTCAGTGTTTGGGTGTTGAAGTCAAGAGCACTTTTTAATAGAAGAAATATTTTTAGCAACTGAGTTAAAGGAGTTAAGTTATTGCAACACAAGGACACTTAAAAATACCAAAAATCTTTACATATATAAATAGAAAAGCCTTCAACACATGGCATATAACTTATAATATGCTTGATTTAAACATGTAAACTCATTTATTAAGAGATTCCTTCTTACAATTCCTTACACTACAGAGGCTAGTGTGTTAAGACTGGCTTAAAGTTTTAATCAGTTTACAGTGCAAAACAAAAACAAAAAAGAATTAAGAAAGAAATGGTCAAACTATTTGAGGGGCAAGACGTGAACTTTCAATGAAAAAAAGAAACTGCATCAGTTCTATCATGTAAAAAAAAAAAAAAAAAAAAAAAAAAAAAAATTTTAAAAAATAAAAAAAAAAAAAAAAAAACCAAGACAACAAATTTTGTGTTTCAAAGTAAACAAAATATAGGTAGTTATAAAGGGAGACAGTAATGATTGTGATCATGAGAGGTAAAAATGTTCTACAAATTTTCTTTGATCAAATGGATAAAAGCTTAGAATTACAATTCCTTAGATAATCTGAGCACATTTTACCTTTGGAAAAGGTTTAAAATGCTTTTAAAATAATTCATTTCACATGAAATTTTCAGATTATTGGCAAACATAACAAAAATCAAATGCCTTTTAAAAACTTGAAAATACATTTTAAAAGTGGTGTTTATGTTCCAAGTCATAGAGTGTATTGCCACAAGGGGTCACTGGTAATACAGCAAAGAACCCGAATGCAGTGTCACCCACAAACCAGAGTAGACTCGATGCTCACTCTCAAAACAGCCTTCCTTCCACAGCCAAACTTGTTTCTCAAGATGCCAGTAAATTAAGTTCAGTAAATTAAATTCACTATTAGTTCAAGTGGACTCAGGGAAGGATGCTTTATTTTCAGATCTAGTGGAGGAGTGCCAAAGCAGAATCTGAAGGAACTTCATTTGAAAGCATTTACAAAAAAATGTGGTATACTCTATAGGAATTATAGGCATTTCTCAGACAACCTAAATTACAGGAAAAGCTTCAAACAGGAGCACAGACTTAGAAAAAACAAGGATAATATGTATCTTAATTCGCAAAGAACAGGTGCTCCAAACATTTACCATTTCAAAGGCAAGATCATACTTGTTTCATATCCCAAAGTGGCACATTGGGTTGAAGCTCAAGTTTGCTTTCCTGCATGTAGATGGGTTTTACTATTTGTTTTATTATTCCCCATCTGGAAATATTGACTCCCTCACTGTTATTTTCAAACCATGGATTTCAATGACATGGCAGCAGCATTGTCCACGCTGGCATCGTGTCTTTAAAGTTCTTTAAAAGGTGATTTTTGGCCGGGCGCAGTGGCTCACGCCTGTAATCCCAGCACTTTGGGAGGCCGAGGCGGGTGGATCACGAGGTCAAGAGATCGAGACCATCCTGGTCAACATGGTGAAACCCCATCTCTACTAAAAA